CTTGTTTGTTTTGTTGTTTAGCTTCCTGTTAAAGGTGACATCATATGGTATTTGTCTTTCAGCACCTGGCCTATTTCACTCAGCATAATGCTTTCCGGTTCCATCCATGTTGTTGCAAAGGGTAGTAGCTCCTTCTTTCTCTCTGTTGCATAGAATTCCATTCTATATATGTACCACAATTTTTCGATCCATTCATTTACTGATGGGCACCTAGGTTGCTTCCAACTCTTGGCTGTTGTAAATTGTGCTGCTATGCACATTGGGGTGCATAGGTTATTTGAAACTGATGTTTTAGGATTCTTAGGATATAATCCTAGCAGTGGAATTGCTGGGTCAAAAGGCAGGTTGATTTTTATTTTTCTGAGAAAATTCCATACTGTTTTCCATAATGGTTGTACCAGTCTGCAATCCCACCAACAGTGAACTAGGGGCCCCTTTTCCCCACACCCTCTCCAACATTTGTTGTTTGTTGCTTTGTTTATGATAGCCATTCTGACCAGTGTAAAGTGGTATCTCATTGTGGTTTCAATTTGCATCTCTCTGATGGCTAGCAATATTGAGCATCTTTTCATGTGTCTCTGTATCCTCTGTATGTCTTTCTTGGAGAAGTTTCTGTTCAAGTCCTTTTCCCATTTTTTAATTGGGTTATTTGTCTTCTTAGAGTGGAGTTGTGTAAGTTCTTTGTATATTTTGGAGATTAAACCTTTGTCTGAGGTATCATTGGCAGATATATTTTCCCATACAGTTGGTTGTCTTTTAAATTTAACACTGTTTACTTTAGCCACGCAGAAGCTTTTTATTTTGATGAGATTCCATTTGTTTATTCTTTCCTTTATATTCCTTGTTCTAGGGGACATATCAGTAAAAATGTTGCTGTGTGAAATATCTGAGATTTTCCTGCAAATGTTCTCCTCTATGACTTTAATGGTGTCACAGCTTATATTTAAGTCTTTTTCCACCTTTAATTTATTTTGGTGTATGGTGTAAGTTGGTGCTCAAGTTTCATTTTTTTTACATGTAGCTCTCCAGTTCTCCCAGCACCATTTGCTCAAGAGGCTGTCTTTACTACATTTTATGTTATTACCCCTTTGTCGAATATTAATTGACTGTACAGAGTTGGGTTTATTTCTGGGCTCTCTGTTCTGTTCCATTGGCCTATGTGCCTGTTTTTATTCCAGTACCAGGCTGTTTTGGTTACAGTGGCCTTTTAATACAGTTTGATATCAGGTATTGTGATCCCTCCTACTTTGTTCTTTTTTCTCAAAATAGCAGCTGCTATTCGGGCTCGTTTATGGTTCCATATAAATTTTTGAAGTGTTTGTTCCATGTCTGTAAAATATGCCATTGGTACTTTAATAGGTATTGCATTGAATGTGTATATTGCTTTGGGTAATATGGATATTTTTATGATGTGAATTCTTCCAATCCATGAACAAGGTATATGTTTCCATTTGTTTGTGTCTTCCTTGATTTCTTTCTTCAGTGCTGTGTAGTTTTCTGCATATAGGTCTTTTACCTCCTTGGTTAGGTTTATTCCCAGATATTTTATTTTTATTTTTGCTATATTGAATGGGATTTTGTCCCTTGATTTCTGCTTCTGCTGTTTTGTTGTTGGTATACAAAAATGCCTTTGATTTCTGGATATTGACTTTGTAACCCGCTGTTTTACCAAATTCAGTATTTAGTTAGAGCAGTTTTTTGGTAGAGTCTGTAAGGTTTTCCAGGTCCACTATCACGTCATCTGCAAACAGTGACAGTTTTGTTTCCTCCTTTCCTATATGGATGCCTTTTATTTCTTTTTCTTGCCTGATTGCTGTGGCCAAAACTTCCAGTACTATATTGAATAGAAGTGGTGAAAGTGGACATCCTTGTCTTGTTCCTGATCTTAGTGGAAAAGATTTGAGTTTTTGCCCATTGCGTATGATGTTGGCTGTAGGTCTTTCATATATGGCCTTTATTATATTGAGGAATGCTCCCCCTATTCCCATTTTGCTGAGTGTTTTTATCATAAATGGGTGTTGTACCTTATCAAAAGCTTTTTCTATGTCTATTGATATGATCATGTGTTTTTTGTCTTTTCTTTTGTTTATGTGATATATTACATTTACTGATTTGCGAATATTGAATCATCCTTGCATCCCTGGGATGAATCCCACTTGGTCATGGTGTATGATATTATTGATATATTGATGGATGCAATTTACCAATATTTTGTTGATGATTTTAGCATCTATGTTCATCAGCAATATTGGCCTGAAATTTTTTTTTTCTTTGTTCTGTATCTAACTGTTTTTGGAATTAGGATGATGCTGGGTTCATAAAAAGAGTTTGAGTGTTTTCCATCCTTTTGGATTTTTTGAAATAGTCTGTGGAGAATAGGGGTTAGCTCTTCCTTAAATGCTTCGTAGAATTCTCCTGTGAAACCATCAGGTCCAGGGCTTTTGTGTGATGGGAGTTTTGTGATTACTGCTTCAATTTCATTTGTTGTTATTGGTGTGTTCAGATTTTCTGTTTCTTTTTCATTGAGTTTTGGAAGATTATATTTTTCTAGAAATTTGTCCATTTCCTCTAGGTTTTCAAATTTCTTGGCATACAGTTCTTCATAGTAATTTCTTACAATCCCTTCTATTTCTGTGGTATCAGTTTTAATCTCTCTTTCATTTCTGATTGTGTTTATTTTTATTATTTTTAAATATAACTGTATCAGGCCTACCAATTTTTTATTTAAAACTTTTTAATTTATTTTATGAGGGCAATTATTCTGTATTTTCCCCTATTGTAATGTCTTTGTCATATTTGGTATCAAGCTATGTTTTTCTCATAAAAGAAATAAAGATGCAATTGGTTGTTTTCTAATCTCTAGAAGTGTTTGCATAAATTTGGTATAATTTCTTTCTTAAAATTTTAGTGTAATTCACTGGTAAGGTCACCTAGGCTTGAAACTGTGTTTCTTTTTTTGTAGAAAATATTTAATTATAGATTTAGCTTATTTAATGATATAGAATCTTTCAGAATTTTAATTTTTTGTTAATTTGTGCTGTTTTGGTTTTGTTGACATCAGTCACTCTTTATCTACCTTTTCACATCTATTGGTACAAAGGTTTTCATGAGATCCTTTTACTATGTTTCTAAAAATATTTTTATTCTATATTTTAATAGTTTTCCCATAGTTATTGTAAATTTTTATTTTCAATTACAGTTTAGATTTAATATTATTCTGTATTAGTTTCAGATGTATAGCCTAGTGGTTAGACTATTAAATACTTTAAAGTGAAATGAGAGGGAGGTGGGGAGCATTGCGGGGGTGGTATGGGATGGGAGTAAAAGACAGAAAACTGTACTTGAACAATTAAATAAATAAATTTTATTTAAAGTGGTCCCCTCAGTATTCCAAGTACCCGCCTGGCCCCATACATAGCTATTAGGATATGATTGACTATATTCCTTATGCTGTAATTTACATCTCTGCGATTATTCTGTAACTACCAATTTGTACTTCTTAATCTCTTTACTTTTTTCACCCAGTCCCCCAAGCCCCTTCCCTCTGTCAATCATCAGTCTGTTGTTTGTATTTATGCCTGTTTCTATTTTGTCTTCATTTATTCTGTTCATCAGAGGCCACATATAAGTAACCTCTAGGTCCATTCATGCTGCCACAAAAAGTAAGATTTCATTCTTTTTTTATGGCCTAGTTTTTCATAGTGTATATGTACCACAACTTTTTACCCACTTGTCTACAGATGGGCACTTGGTTACTTCCATATTTTCGCTACTGTAAATAATACTTCAATAAACATATATCCCTTCAAATTAGTGTTTTGGGTTTCTTTGGAGCTATACCCTGAAGTGGAATCACTGGGTCATAGGCAGTTTTATTTTTAATTTTTGGAGGAAATCTTCACACTGTTTTCTATAGTGGTTGCACCAGTCTGCATTCCCACCAAGAGCACAGACTATATGGTCTCTGTTTCCCCAGTCATCATCAACATCTGTTGTTTGTTGATACTGATGACAGCCATTTTAACAGGTGTGAGACTATCTCAGTGAGATGTTTATTTGCAGTTCTCTGATGATTACTGGTATTGAACAACTTCTCATGCAGCTATTGGCTATCTGTGTATCTTCTTTGGAGAAGTGTCTATACAGGTCTTCTGCCCAGTTTTTAATTGAATTGTTGTTTCTCTGGTGTTGAATATTCTGAGGATATTAACTCTTTAATGGACATATCATTAGCTAACACCTTCTCCCATTTAGTAGGTGTCTTTTCATTTTGTTGATATTTTTTGTTGACAGTTTTGCTGTTTAAAAACATTTTATTTTATTTTTCTCCAAGAAATCAAACACAATTTAATTTAGAACTAAATAGGAAAAATTAAATAAAAGAAATCTTTATCCTAAACTTTCCTGATAGACATTTTATTCCCAGACTCCATGTTACTGATTTTAACCCTCCTATTAGTTGCCTTCATAATATTCACAGAGGATGTACAAAGTGTGTCATTTGGTTTAGGAGTCAAGCTTGAAAATAACAATCTTTGTGCTTTAGAACAATTATTGTTTTTATTATTTTATTTATTTATCTTTAGAGGGGAAGGGAAGGAGAGAAATATCAATGTATTGTTGCCTCTCATGCATCCCATGCTGGGACTGGCCTACAACCCAGGCATGTGCCCTGACTGGGAATTGAACCACACGATACTTTGGTTTGCAGGCTCACACTCAATCCACTGAGCTACACCAGCCAGGGCTAGAACAATTATTAAAACACATTTATTATGCTTCCTGCTCATAAATAGTCAATAAAATTTTCCCCTAAAAATAACTTAGAGCAAGGAAATCATCTGCTTTACACAAAACCAGAATTCATCCATTCTCTCTGGGGTTCCATGGTCCTACTGAACAGGTGTAAGATCAAAGTATATTTCCTATTTTGGTTTCTGTGTTTTAAAGACCAGAGAAAATCCTTTGATATTTTCATCTTGGTTTCAGCATAGTATATATCAATATCTTTTTCTTCCTCTAAATATTGACCTGACATCCAACATTGATCTTTTACATTCAAAAAATGAGTATTTCAAAGCTTTCCAGTTTCCTTCCTTCAGACATTGCTGAGAGGATTTTCCTTCCTGGAGCACACAGTTGAACTGCAGTAGACAGCACCCAGGTCCTCTTTCATGCCAATGTGCACGACCATCCACCCAGATTGTCCTTGTAATACCAAGGCAGAGCCACATCTCCCACATGCCAGGGCTCCTCAGACTGCTTGCTGTGCAAAATCATTTCAGTTTGATTTAGTCTCATTTGTTTATTTTTTATTTGATTCCCTTGTTCCAGCAGATATATCAGAAAAAATATTGTGAAGAGAAGTGTCCGATTTTACTCCCTGTACTTTCTTCTAGGAGTTTTGTGGTTTTAGGTATTACTTTGAAGTATTTAATCCATTGTCAGATTATTGTTGTATATGGAATAAAAATGTGGTCTAGCTTTTTTTTCTTTTTGTGTGGCACTGTCCAATTTTCCCCAAACCATTTATTGAATAGACTGTCTTCCCCCCATTATACATTTTTGCTTCCTTTGTCATAGATTACTTGACCATATAAACATAGGTTTATTTATGGCCTTTCTATTTGGTTCCATCAATTTATGTGTCTCTTTTTATGCCAGTATCATGCTATTTGGATTATTATAACCTTGGAGTACAGTTTGATATCAGGTAGTATGATTCTTCCCACTGTGTTTTTCTTTTTCAAGATTGCTGTCACATTTGAGTCTTTTGTGTTTCCATATACATTTTTGGATTATTTGTTCTAGTTCTGTGAAATACACCATTTGTGCTTTTGATAAGAATTATATTGAATACATAGATTGTTATGGATGGTACATACATTTTAATGGCTTTAATTCTTTCTATACATGAGCATGCTTCCATATGTTAGTATCTTCTTCAAATTTCATTCTTCAATATTTTATACTTTTCTGAGTATAGGTCTTATACATCCCTGATTAAATTTGTTCTTAGGTATTTTGTTTTTTGCAGTTGTAAGTGGGATTGTTTTCTTAATTTCTCTTTCTGATACTTCATTATCTGTTTATAAAAATTGAAATAATTTCTGATTTATTTTGTGTCCTGCTACTTTACTGAACTTATCAGTTCTAGTAGTTGTTTGGTGGAATGTTTAGGGTTCTCTGTGTCCCATATCATGTCTTCTGCTAGTTGTTTTGTGCAATCTTATGAATTCTCTCCATATAGTATCATGTCTTCTGCAAATAATGACAGTTTTACCTCTTGTTTTCCAATTTGTATGCCTTTTATTTCTTTTTATTGTCTGGTTGCTGTGGCTAGAACTTCCAGTACTGTGTTGAATAAGTCTGGTGAAAGGTGACATCCCTGTCTTGTTTCCAATCATAAGAAAATTGCTTTTACTTTTTGCCTATTGAGTATGGTATTAGCTGTGGTTTTGTCATATACAGCCTTTATTATGCTGAAGTATGTTTTATTCTATTCTTACTCTCCTGAGAGTTTTTTCATAAATGGATGCTAGATTTTGTCAAATGATTTTATTCTGCATATATTTATATGAAAATATGATTTTTCCTTTATTTTCTTTATATGGTGTATCACATTTATTGATTTGCAGATATTGAACCATCCTCGCATCCCAGGAATAAATCCTACTTGATTGTGGCATATTATTTTTTAAATAAATTGACGAATTCAGTTTGCTAATATTTTGTTGAGGATTTTTGCATCTATGTTCATTAGAGATATTGGCCTAACTTTCTTTCTTTGTAGTGTCTATCTGGTTTTGGCATGAAGATAATGCTGGCTTTATAAAATGAGCTTGAGAATCTTCCTTCCTCTTGAACTTTTTAAAATAGTTTGAGAAGAATAGATGTTAGTTCTTCTTTGAAAGTCTGATAAAATCCATGTGTGAAGTCATACATTTCCAGAATTTTGTGTATGAGAGTTTTTTTTATTACTGCTTCAATTTCATTGGATGTAATTAGTCTGTTCAGATCTTCTAGTCTATCTTGATTGAGTCTTGGTAGCTTGTAGGTTCCTGGGAATTTATTCATTTCTTCCAGATTATCCTTTTTGTTACCATATACTTATTTGTAGTATTTTCTTGTAATCCTTTGTATTTCTGTGATGTCAGTTATTTTTCCTCTTTATTGTCTGTATTTATTTTGTTCCTCTCCCCCTTTTTCTTCATAAATTTGGTTAAAGGTTTATTAATCTTGTTTACTTTTTAAAAAAAACAGCACTTGGTTTCATTGATCTTTTGTAATATTTTAAGATACTATGTTTTTTATTTCTGCTCTTACCTTAATTATTTTTTTCTACTCTAGGATTTGTTATTCCTTTTCTAGTTTCTTTAGGTGAAAGGTTAGATTGTGAATTTGATATTTTTCTTATTTTCTTGAGGTAGGCATCTATTGCTATCAATTTTTCTTTTAGAAATACTTTTTGTACTCTACTGCTGTCATAAACCATTTTTCCTCCTCCCACAACTGACTAAACATACACGATAAAAGGAGTAGGTGGAAACGGAGAACATCAAGATACCTGAAGGAGCCTGCACCACTGAAATTCACAGGTATTATACCACAGAGGTTCACAACATAAACCCAGGGAGGCAGAACAGATCAATTTTAGAAGCTGAGGCTAACAAGAAGACTCTCACAAACAATGGGAAGACAAAGAAACAATCCCCAAATGAAAGAAAAAGCAGAGGCTTCAAAAACAATGTTAGATGAAATAGAGGCTAATCAACTAACAGAGAGTGAATTCAAAGCACTGGTTATCAGGAAGTTCAAAGAGCTCACAATGAGCTACCAGAAACTACAGGGGAGCTACAATGATCTCACTGCTAACTATATCAACATTAAAAAGGAAAATAGAAACTATCAGCAAGGGACAGGAGGAAATGAAGAATACAATTTCCAAATTGAAGAACACAGTAGAAAGTTTCAAAAGTAGAATAGATAAGGCGGGGGATGTGATTATGGACCTGGAGGACAAAGTAGAAAGCATCTCACAGAAAGAGCAAGAGAAAGAAAAGAGGCTGAGAAAGAATAAAGAGGGATTAAGAGAAATGCAAGACAATATGAAATGTAATAATATCCAAAAAACAGGGATACCAGAAGGAGAAGAAGAAGAAAAAGGGATAGAAAACATATTTGAAAGAGTAATGAGAGAAAATTTCCCTAATTTGATGAGAGAAAAAGTCACACAAATCTAGGAATCACAGAGTCCCAATCAAGAGGCACCCAAAGAGGATCACTTCAAGACACATCATCATAAAAATGGCAAAATTCCAAGACAAAGAGAGAATCTTAAAGGCAGCAAGGGAGAAAAAAGAAATAACATACAAGGGAGCCTTAATAAGGTTAGCTACTGACTTCTCAATGGAAAAACTCCAAGCAAGAAGAGAATGGCAAGAAATATTCCAAGTAATGAGAACTACAGGCCTACAACCAATGCTACTTTACCCAGCAAGGCTCTCAATCAAGATAGAAGGGCCAAATAAAGAACCTCTAAGACAAAATAAGTCTAAAAGAATATGCTTCCACCAAACCAGCCCTACAAGAAATACTAAAATGACTGCTTTAAGGAAAGGAAGGAAAAGAGACAGACAGAGAGGAACACAGATACAAAAATGGCAATGAATTAGTACCTATCAATAATAACCTTAAATGTAAATGGATTAAATGCTCCAATCAAAAGAAACAGAATAGCTGAATGGATATATGAAAGCATGGCCCACACATATGCTGCCTACAAGAGACCCACCTCAGGACAAAAGACCATCACAGACTCAAAGTGAAAGGCTGGAAACAAATTTTCCAAGCAAATGGACAAGAAAAAAAAGCTGGGGTAGCAATTCTGATATTGGACAAAATAGACTTCAAAAAAAGGGCCATAAAGAGAGACCCAGAAGGTGACTTCATAATACTCAAGGGAAGAATCCACCAAGAAGACATTAACATTGTAAATATATATGCAGCCAACATAGGAGCACCCAAATATATAAAGAAAATCTTAGAGGACTTCAAGAAAGATATTGACAGCAACACAATTATAGCAGGGAATTTTAACACAGTTAGGATGGCTATCATAAACAAAGCAACAAACAACAAATGTCAGAGAGGTTGTGGGGAAAAGAGGTCCTTAGTTCATTGTTGGTGGGATTGCAGACTGGTACAACCATTTTGGAAAACATTATGGAATTGCCTCAGAAAACTAAAAATTGACCTGCCTTTTGACCCAGCAATTCCACTGCTAGGATTATATCCTAAGAATCCTAAAACATCAGTTTCAAATAACCTATGCACCAGAATGTGCATAGCAGCATAATTTACAATAGCCAAGAGTTGGAAGCAACCTAGGTGCCCGTCAGTAAATGAATGGATCAAAAAATTGTGGTACATATACACAGTGGAATTCTATGCAGCAGAGAGAAAGAAGGAGCTACTACCCTTTGCAACAACATGGATGGAACTGGAAAGCATTATGCTGAGTGAAATAGGCCAGATGTTGAAAGACAAATACCATATGATCTCACCTTTAACCGGAAGCTAAACAACAAAACAAACAAGCAAGCAGAATAAAAACAAAAGACACTGAAATAGAGAATAGGGGGACAGTGACCAGAGGGGATAGGGAAGGGAATTTAAGGGGACTAAATGGGGAGGGATTTGGAGGAATAAATATGAAGGACGCAGGGACGAGAACTAAGGGGGGTGGAAATGGGAGGGAGGGGGGAGCATGGGGTGGGGGGTGCTGGGATGGGAGAAATAGAAAAAAAACTGTACTTGAAAAATAACTATCTAAATAATTCATCAAGCACATAAAATAAAATAAAATAAAATAAAATAAAAAATACTTTTTGTGTCCCATAGATTTTGGATGTTTTCATTTATTTATTTTTTTAATTTTTTATTGATTATGCTGTTACAGTTGTTCTATTCCCCTTTTCATTCCCCCCACCCTACCCCCCATTCCCACCATTACCCCCCCTTTAGTTTATGACCATGTGTCTCAAGTCCTTTAGATTCTATATTTCCCATGCTATTCTTGCTCCCCCCCATCTATTTTCTATCTACTGTCTATGCTACTTATTTTATGTACCTTCTCCCCCCTTCTCCTCCTCTCACTCCCCTGTTGCTAACCCTCCTTCAGATCTTCATTTCTATGTTTCCACTCCTGATCTAGCTGTCCTTTTAGTTTGCTTTCGTTTTAGGTGTGGTTGTTAATAACTGTGAGTTTGTTGTCGTTT